GATGGCCACTCTTTTATGATTGATAATGAAATGACTGCTTCCCCAGTCTGTACAGTTTTGAATCTTGAAAGAAACTCTTGTCTAGATTGGAAGACCGTCTGTTTCTTCTGTCACTAGGCAGCAATGCTTTCCTTCCCTCAGCAGCATTTTAAATGAACTAGTCTAACTCACAACCAAAGAGCATACTCCCCTGGAAAGGCAATGAATATAGGCTATTTTTTGAAGCCGTATCTGCCTCCTAAGCCTTAAGCCAAACAGACATGAATCTCACATGATCAAAAGAAGCATCTGTGCAAAATTCAGTTGCCAGTTGAATATCCTCCACTGTTCTAAGGAAGTGGGATTCCTAAAGTGGGATGTCCACTTCTAGATCCTTAGCCCATTGTTCAAGGGCTCTATATATAGATGTTAGATCTGCAGGTGGATGAAGACTTCTCCCACTGCCACAAAAGCTTTAGACAGGTTAGTGTCTATTCTACACTCTATAGGCTCCCTTAAGGAGCTAGTCATCAAGGGAAGAGTGGTTTTCTTGGCAAGTCTAACCACTGCCACATCCACTTTGGGAGCTGTGACGTGGCAGAATCTTATTTTTTAAATGGATACAGCCCGTACTGCTTGCCTTGCACCACCACTTTTTTTTCTCAGATTTGTCCTATTCTTCTTAGATTAGGGTCTTAATGCTGTCATGCAGATGAAAAGCCAGTTCTTTCTTCTTTTGTTTGCCAAATGTTTACTGCAAGAAGGCTCTTGTCCTGATGACTCTTCTAGGATTAGGGTCTTTCTGATTGCCTCAATTAGGACTTCTATCTTTTTTTCATTAAACCCTCCTGAGTAAGATGTTTCTCTGTTTCCAAAGAATCTTCTTCTTCTTCTCTAAACATTCTCTCATTCAAAACCTCTATCAGAGGTATCATTCTCACAATCTTCGTGTCTCAACGGTTTGGATCTTTTGCTAGCTTTGGTTGCTTCCTTGACACCTTCTGCATCTGACTGTCTGATAATTGTAACTAAATTAGTGGAGCTGGAACTTGCAGTGCTGGCCAAAGCAGAGTCTTACACCAGTGTGATACACTGAAAGCACAATGTCTTTCCTTCTGCAGCTAGATTGTTGCAAGCTTCATAGCAATTTTGTATCTGTCTCTTGTCCGCTAGTAACACTGGGGATCTTCTGGGAGGCCTGAGGGAACTACAACCTTGGCACACCAAGATGACTCGATACCTCCAAAAATGCTCCAGAACTGCTGAACGCTGTTGGAGAAAGTCTCACTGTACGTCTGACTTTCTCCACTATAAATTTATGCTGCGCTCATACAGCTTGGCACTTTCCTCTGCAAAAGTAAATTACTTCAATACCCTCATAACCACTCTCTTCCACGAACCCAAATTACTATTTCACAGATTTAACTCTCTTCTTCGCCCTATTGTTCCTCCTCCACCTACTAACTTGACCGCCTCAGACTTTGCAACTTACTTCACTGACAAGATCTCTACAATCAGGGAATATATCTCTCATCTGTCTTCTTCCCCTTATAATACGTCCCCTAACCTCACTCATTCTGCTGTTCTCTGTTCATTCGCACCCGCTACAGTGGAAGAGGTTTCTGCTCTGCTCCAATCCTTCCGCCCCACCATCTACTCCCTAGATCCAATTCCCTCGCATCTCATCCATACTCTGTCTTCTTCTCTTTCCCTACCTCTCACTAAAAGTCTCAATCTCTCTCTCTTCTCTGGCATATTTCCATCGCCCTTCAAACATGCAACTTTAATCTATATTCTAAAGATTGCAGGGGCCTTCGAAGGGACGTGGATGTCCCGAGCGCGCAGCCCAAACACTGTGACTGCTCAAACACTGTGGCCATCTCCTATTTGCCGAGTACTACCGACTGCCTTCAGTAAGATATATGAGGACATCACTGACAGTCTTTATTGCAGCAGGAACTCAGCAGGATTTAACAGCTCACCGATTGGTATACAGTCACTCTCTACATCTATCACAGACTTTCCACAAATCCTCCGGTTGCATCTAAGGCTACAATCCATTAGGATACTTCAGTGGGTGAGATCCACCTATTTATTACTAAAGTGCACTATTTTTTGGACTATTGTACATAAGGACATATACAACTTTCTTGATTTTTTCTTTTCATTTTTTTCTTTTCATTTTCATTTTTTTCATTTTCTTTTGACTGTATTGGCATTTTTTTCATTTTTCCATTATTGGTTTTTGAGTTTTACTTTTTTTTCTATGTACATAGATTACAACAGATCCAACTACTATCCATATGGATATGTTGCCCTTAGACTATTAAACAGGAACATTATTAGCTGTGTATATACGCTTATCATGAATTTATATAATACCCATGGAGGTGACTTTGTAAATAGCTATTGAATATATGATGTAATGTATTCTATTGATCAATTATATTTTCTCATATAGAGCTAAATACCTATGAATTTAATAATAAGAGCATAATAAATGAAATTAGATTATCTTTCATTATTGTTTGACTATTTCTCTATATTGAGTGCGGTATTCATATTGATTTTTTTGTACATATTCTAAAGAAGCCCAACCTTAGCCCTAACTCCCCGTCCAACTACTGTCCTATCTCGCTTTCCATCTAAGATTTTTGAAAGAGTTGTGTATGCGAGATTGACAAACTTCCTCGAGTCCAACTCTCTGCTAGACCCACTTCAGTCTGGTTTCTGCGCTAAGTGAAACGGCACTGACCAAAGTATCCAATGATCCACTCGCTGCAAAATCTTGTGGTCACTACTCTATCCTAATTCATCTTGACCTATCTGCGGCTTTTGACACTGTTGAGTGGGTGCTGGATAGTACAACAGGCGTTGCCGACGTGGCTAGAGGGGCAGCATATATGTACTGGTCGGGTCCCCTTGGCTTGCATCTAAAGCCTGAGGTCAAGGACAAGATCTGGAAAGGGGAATTAGTGGAGATATTTTCCCTGTTGCCCTTGGAGGACAAGGAGGGAAAAGAGTCGGACAAGGATAGGGAGAAGTTCCGTTACAGGAAGATTCCAAAATCTTTCGGGAACTGGGTGCAGGCATTTTCCATTTTGGTGAGCGTGATTGGGGAAAAGGCTCGCCAGCACTGCTCAGCGCTCTTTTGCTACAGGACACCATTTGGAACGCGTGTCGGACCTATGGCGGCCTGGGTTGGTGGCGCTATGATGAACAATTTTGTCAGTGGCTCGCTGTCCACCCCTCTAGCTCGTGGGATCAGATGGACATTTGCCTGTGGCTGTCCTTCATGACTCACCCGGCGGCGCACCAAGGGGGTACATTGTCCTTTCTTGGGGGGGGGGGTTCTACCCCATCGGCCTCACCCAGGCGGCCGGGCTGTTGTTGGAAGTTCAACGACAGCCAATGCAAGTGGGGAGAAGCATGTCGTTTTAAACACGAATGCTCCCGTTGTGGGGGTGCCCACTCGGCATTCCGCTGCTTTAAGCGGGGTAAGTCTGGGGACAAAGGCAACGTGGGGAATAAGGGCGAAGACACCAGTGGCTGTGGACGTGATGCGCCCCTGGCTCGGCCATTATAGGAACCGCCGGGCTGCGGGGAGCTGCTGGAGGGGCTTACCCAGGGGTTTTGGATTCACTTCTCGGAGCGCCCCCCTCCGGGACAGTCAGGAACTTGAAGTCAACCCTCGCGGGGGCTCGGTGAATGATGACATCTCTGCCGAGCTGTGTCGGGTGTCTTATGCTTCCTTTGACGCAGCAGTACGCATGGTCAGGGCAGCGGGTCCCGGGGCAAAGGCAGACGTGAAATCAGCGTTTCGCTTGTTGCCGGTGCACCCTGATTGCCCTCCTCGGTTGTTGTTTCCAGAGCCAGTACTATGTGGATATGTGCCTCCTGATGGGGTGCTCCATATCCTGCTTTTACTTCGAGTGCTTCAGCACTTTCCTGGAATGGGTGGTGCGGCAGGAGTCTGGGATCGACTCGCTGCTGCATTACCTTGACGACTTCCTGTGTGTGGGCCCTGCGCATTCTCCGGCGTGTAGGAGCCTGCTCACCGCGGTGGAAAGGGTGTTTGGGCGCTTCGGGGTTCCCCTTACCCACGATAAGATTGTGGGGCCGGTAACGTGCCTTAGCTTCCTGGGCATCGAGATAGATTCGGTGGCCTTGGAGTGCTGGCTGCCCCTAGACAAGGTGGAAGGGTTGCGCCGGGATGTGGTGGTAGCACGGGGCTTGGGGAAGATACAGCTATGCCAGCTGCAACCGCTGTTGGGGAAGTTGAACTTCGCATGCAGGGTCGTGCCCATGGGGTGGATTTTTAGCAGGCGCCTAGCGGCCGCGACCACTGGGGTGGCAAGGCCTCGGCATTACATTAGACTCACGAGGAAGTTACGGGACGATTTGGACGTCTGGGGTACGTTCTTGGCGGATTATAATGGGAGGTCGTATTGGCAAGCGCAAGAGGTGTCCGGTGTGGATCTCCACCTCTATACGGACGCGGCGGGTTCCGTCGGCTTTGGGGCGATACTGGGGTCGCGATGGTGCGCTGACACTTGGCCTGGGGACTGGTACGCCTCTGGCCTGACTAAGAATCTGGCTTTCCTCAAACTTTTCCCCATTGTGGTGGCGTTGGAGCTGTGGGGTCTGGACTTGCGGGATCGGCAGGTTGTCTTTCACTGTGACAACTTGGGGGTCGTGCAGGCGATTAACCAGCTCTCCGCCGGTGGTTCATTTGCTCCAGCGCCTGGTGCTACGGTGCCTGTGCCTTAACGTGTCTTGTAGGGCGCTGCATGTTCCGGGGGTTCACAATGTAATTACGGATGCTCTCTCTCGTTCGCAGTGGTCGGAGTTCCGGGCAGCTGCACCCCACGCGGACGAGGATGGGTGCCGGTGTCCAGTGGAACTATGGTCCCTGGGCTCGACGGGCTGATGGACCTGGTTCGAGGGTCTGTGTCGAGTTCCACTTGGGCCAGATACTCGAAGGTATGGGCGGAATGGCTCGAGTGGGAGTCAGGTCTGGGGGTTTTCCAGGATACGCCCGCTCGATTGCGGGGCTTGTTGCAGCTATTGAACACTTGGGTGTCGGCGGGCATGTCGCCTTCGGCGGTGTCCTCGCGCCTGGCTGGGCTGAGTTTTTTCTTTAAGCTGCAAGGGTGGGGGGACATGACCAAGGAGTTTGTGGTGAGGCAGGCGGTTAAGGGGCTGCGTAGGGGTCGGGTTACGGTGGATACCCGGAGGTCGGTGTTGGGGCTGCTACTGGCGCAATTGTGCCAAGTGCTCCTGCAGGTGTGCTTCTTGGACTTCGAGGTGCGGCTTTTTTGCTTGGCCTTTTCGTTTGCTTTCTTTAGGGCCATGAGGATTGGGGAGTTGGTATGTTCAAGCAGGGTGACAATTGGGGGATTCACCGCTCCAAGACGGACGTGTTTGGTAAAGGTAAGTGGGTTCAGCTGGCAGCTGCCCCAGGGTTGTACACCTGCCCAGTTCTGTCCTTCCGGTGTTTTTGCGCAGTTCGCCCTGCACTGGCTGGCCCCCTATTAGTGCACGAGGATGGGAGCTTCCTCTCCCATTTTCAGTTTGCCAGGGTGTTTCGGTTGGGGTTGGCTGCGTTGGGCGTGGAGGGTGCGGAGTTTGGAGGGCACTCCTTCCGAATTGGTGCAGCGACGGAGGCTTTTCGGCTGGGTATGCCGGATCAGGAGGTACAGCAAATTGGGAGTTGGGAATCCAGGAGGTTTGTCTCTTATGTGCGTCCTGCCGGTCTCCTGAGCTAGACTGTTTTGTTTTCCTCCCCAGGTCGGGTCCCCTACAAGGTCTGGTTGATTGGCCACTCCTATATCCACTGGGCGAGGCAGGGAGCGGCAGTCCGGCCAGGGGGGAGCGTCTCGGTCTCACGCCGGTAACTGCGGAGGTACGGTGGTTCGGGGTCAGAGGCATGAGGTGGGTCCGGCTTCTCCCTGACTTGGTCCATCTGAGGGGTAACGATCTGGGGACCGTGCGTGTGGGGGGCCTGGTGGACATGGTCAGGAGGGACTTGTCCCAGATCTTGATCTTGTTCCCCGACGTATCCTTGATTTGGTCGGAGGTAGTGGCGAGGAATTTTTGGCGGCAGGCTCGCAGCCAGAGTGCGCTGGAGCGCAGCCGCAAGAAGTTTAATTGGCGGATTGCGAAGTTTGTAATGGGGGTTGGGGGAATCTCGATACGGCACCAGGTTTTTGAAAAAGATGCGGCACATTTTTTTCGGCCAGATGGGGTGCATCTGACGGAGGTACACCTGCCCAGTTCTGTCGTTCCGGTGTTTTTGCGCAGTTCGCCCTGCACTGGCTGGCCCCCTGTTAGTGCACGAGGATGGGAGCTTCCTCTCCCATTTTCAGTTTGTCAGGGTGTTTCGGTTGGGGTTGGCTGCGTTGGGCGTGGAGGGTGCGGAGTTTGGAGGGCACTCCTTCCGAATTGGTGCAGCGACGGAGGCTTCTCGGCTGGGTATGCCGGATCAGGAGGTACAGCAAATTGGGAGGTGTGAATCCAGGAGGTTTGTCTCTTATGTGCGTCCTGCCGGTCTCCTGAGCTAGACTGTTTTGTTTTCCTCCACAGGTCGGGTCCCCTACAAGGTCTGGTTGATTGGCCACTCCTATATCCACTGGGCGAGGCAGGGAGCGGCAGTCCGGCCAGGGGGGAGCGTCTCGGTCTCACGCCGGTAACTGCGGAGGTACGGTGGTTCGGGGTCAGAGGCATGAGGTGGGTCCGGCTTCTCCCTGACTTGGTCCATCTGGGGGGTAACGATCTGGGGACCATGCGTGTGGGGGGCCTGGTGGACATGGTCAGGAGGGACTTGTCCCAGATCTTGATCTTGTTCCCCGACGTATCCTTGATTTGGTCGGAGGTAGTGGCGAGGAATTTTTGGAGGCAGGCTCGCAGCCAGAGTGCGCTGGAGCGCAGCCGCAAGAAGTTTAATCGTCGGATTGCGAAGTTTGTAATGGGGGTTGGGGGAATCTCGATACGGCACCAGGTTTTTGAAAAAGATGCGGCACATTTTTTTCGGCCAGATGGGGTGCATCTGACGGAGGTCGGGCTTGACCTGTTTAACTTGGCGCTTCAAGAAGCTTTGGAACAGGCCATGGTGGGTTTCGGTGGGGGCCCCCGCTGATTTTAGGCTTAAAACAGTGGGGTTTGTGGCGGGGCATGTCCTTGCCAAATAAGGGATGGTAGATTAGATGAAAAGGGGGATAATGGCCGAGTCTCATTCTCCCCCTGTCTCTTATGGTGAACTTGGAGGAGGTACCAGGTTGGACGTGTCCCCACTGGGTTGTAAGTCGACCGGTGAGGAGCATTATGGTTGGGCTCCACCGAGCGGAAAACCGGCTGGTGGAGAGCCCTGAAAAGGAAGAGGTTTTATTATGCTGAGGGGGGGAGGTGAGAGCCTTCGGGAAGTTAGATTGGCAAGGACGGTTTTCTTGATTACTGTATGACTGTATAAAAAGTGTTTATGTTAATTTATTATGTTATATGTTTAAGGAGTTATACAGTATTTGGTGGTGTTAATAAATGCTGTGGACTGTTTTCCCAAGAAGTTGTCTGTCATTATTTGAAGGGGTAAGTTATGGTTTTTTATGGGGGGATGAGGAGAATGCTATCCAATGCCCACTACGTACATACAAGGCCCCAGGGAGAGTGCGCAGCTTAGCGGATAGGGGCACATGTATGAGTGTGGGATGGATGATGCATGATTGGCTATATTCTACATGTCTGAGTGTGGGATGGATGGTGCTACGTGTGGGATTGTAAGATGTGAGGAAGTGGGTGGTGACAAAGCAGACTGACCTCAGTGCCACTTAGGAGCCGGGCCAGCAACAAGTTTCCCGCCCACCGTCCCTCTGCTGCTTTGGGCCCGGGTGGTTGTCACAGCGAGGCGGGGTATGTCCTTGCCAAATAAGGGATCGTAGATTAGATGAAAAGGGGGATAATGGCAGGGTCTCATCCTCCCCCTGTCTCTTATGGTGAACCTGGAGGAGGTACCATGTTGGACGTGTCCCCACTGGGTTGTAAGTCGACCGGTGGGGACCATTATGGTTGGGCCCCACCGAGCCGAAAACCGGCTGGTGGGGAGCCCTGCAAAGGAAGAGGTTTTATTATGCCGAGGGGGGGAGGTGAGAGCCTTGGGGAAGTTAGATTGGCAAGGACGGTTTTCTTGATCACTGTATGACTGTATAAAAAGTGTTTATGTTAATTTATTATGTTATATGTTTAAGGAGTTATACAGTATTTGGTGGTGTTAATAAATGCTGTGGACTGTTTTCCCAAGAAGTTGTCTGTCGTTATTTGAAGGGGTAAGTTATGGTTTTCTATGGGGGGATGAGGGGAATGCTATCCAGTGCCCACTATGTACATACATGTGTGCTTAGAGCAGATGGGCTAGCCCACGTGCATCAATAAACATCCATGCCCTGGTGCTGATTCGCTGGTTGTCCTTCCTTGCACTACTTTTGGTAGGTAATAATCACTGCATAGACAATTAGACAGAAAGCAAGGCCAAGGTTCAGGTGCAAGAGTTGAGGAGCCAGAAGTTCAGTCAGAAGAATAGAGGGAAACTAAGTCCAATGACCCAAGACTGTGGCAGCAAGAGAAGCAAGGAACACACTAGAAGGGGTAGGCAACCTTTTAGCAGCACTGTGCTGATATAGGATTGTGATGTCTCATAGCGTGCCGATCCTTTTTTAAATTGAGATGTTTATTTTGCCATATTCTGCTTGTGTTATTTATACTGCAGTTGCTTGGTATCGTTGTATTTGTGTGTATATAAGCTATTATATTGTATATGTTCATTAGTAGTTTATGGTAGCATGTATGATACAAATGAATGTGGGCTGTGTATGGGGGCTGCTTGTGGAATTGTGTGTGAATGGATATGTCACATTGTGTGTTTAGTAGTGTGAGGGGGCTGTTTGGGGTATTGCATGTGAGAGGCTGCATGTGGGGTTGTGTGCATGTATGTGGATTGTTAGCGGGTTACGTTGGGGCTGTTTGTATTATTTGTATGAGTGGCGGGTTATTCTACATGTCTGTGTATATTTAGCAGTGTGGGTGGCTTCCCTGGGTTCCAGTGGGACCAGGCTGGCCAGGAGCTGCAACAGCAAAGACAGGAGCTGCAACAGCAGCTGCGGGCCACTTTACTACAGTGTGGATTTTCATTCACAAGTGCTGCAATGAAGTGATCTGAGATCACTTTCTCCACCTGCTGCAATGCATAAATTGAGAATTGTCCTTCACCACCTTTTCGTATTAGCAGATATCTGAAGTTTAATGGGACTCCTGATAGGCCAAAGCCTGTTTGACTCTAGCAGCCTTGAGTGCCGTGTAAAGACACCTTGAGCCCTAATCATTGGGCTGACAGCTCCTGTGATCCCAGCGGGCCATGTGTGAGCTGTGCGGCTGCAGTAAGCCCCGCCCCCGCCACACGCTAAGCTCCGCCCCGTCGCATGTAAGATCCGCCCCAATTTTTTTTATTTTTTTTTATGATCCCGGCCGGCCATGTGTGAGCTGTGCCGGCCGGGATCATAAAAAAAAATAAAAAAATTTGGGGCTGATCTTACATGCGACGGGGCGGAGTTTAGCGTGTGGCGGGGGCGGGGCTTACTGTGCGGCGGGGGCCTGGCTGACTGCAGCATGGGAAGCAGGAAGGAGTCCCTGCTTCCCCAACAACCAGCCTCCAGGAGCTCCAAGCAGGAGGGAAGAAGCAGGCCAGTGTGTCTGTGTGACTGTCTGTGTGACTGTCTGTGTGTGACTGTCTGTGTGTGACTGCCTGTGTGTGTGGCTCCCTGTGTGTGTGACTGCCTGTGTGTGTGTCTGTCTGTGTGTGTGTCTGTGTGTGTGTGTGACTGTCTGTGTGTGTGACTGCCTGTGTGTGTGACTGTCTGTGTGTGACTGCCTGTGTGTGTGACTGTGTGTGTGTGACTGTGTGTGTGTGTGACTGCCTGTGTGTGTGACTGCGTGTGTGTGTGACTGTGTGTGTGTGTGACTATCTGTGTGTGTGACTGTCTGCCTGTGTGTGTGGCTGTCTACCTGTGTGTGTGTGACTGCCTGTCTCTGTATGTGTGGATGTTTGCCTCGGTGTCAGTGACTGTCTGCCTCTGTGTGTGCGCGCACCTGCTAGTGAGGGAGCCTCTGTGTGTGTGTGTGCCTGCTAGTGAGTGTGTGTGTGTGTGTGTGCCTGCTAGTGAGTGAGCTTGTATGTGTGTCAGTGAGCTTGTCTGTAGGGATCATATGTGTGTGTGTGTTAGTGAGCTCTTGTCTGTAAGGAGCATGGGTGTGATCGTGAGCTTGTCTGTAGTGAGCGTGTGTGTCAGTGAGCTTGTCTGTAGTGAGCATGTGTGTGTCAGTAAGCTTGTCTGTAGTGAATCTGTGTGTTAGTGAGCTCTTCTGTAGGGAGCATGTGTGTGTCAATGGGCTTGTCTGTAGGGAGAGTGTGTGCGCATCAGTGAGCTTTGTCTGTAGTGAGCGTGTGTGTGTGACAGTGAGCTTGTCTGTAGTAAGCTTGTGTGTGTATCAGAGTTTGTCTGTACTAAATTTGTGTGTGCCAGTAACCTTGTCTGTGTGTGTCATTGAGATTGTCTGTCAATGAGCCTATTTGTGTGCATCAGTAAGATTGTCTGTGTCTGTGTGTGAGTATGCTTTACTGTATAATTTAATTACCCTAAAATAACTAATATTTTGAATTAGAAGAAGAAATGCATCAATAAAATATATAGTATATATATATATGTATATATATATATATATATATATATATATATATATATATATATATATATATATATACTATTGCATCACCAGAGCTCCAGTATCCAGGCAATTGAAATAGTTGGCTGCACTCTCAGATTTCCTGAAAATGTAACTTTTATTGAAATATTTAAGAGAAGATCAATGTTTCAGTCCCTCTTGTGGACTTTCGTCATGATCCTGATGCAAGTCCACAAGAGGGACTGAAACGTTGATCTTCTCTTAAATATTTCAATAAAAGTTACATTTAAAGGAAATCCGAGAGTGCAGCCAACTATTTCAATTGCCTCTATATATTTATAACACCCTACATAGCACAATGACTTATGGGGCTGGCATGGATTTTTTTTCCAGGGCTGCTTCGTATCCCCAGTCCGGCCCTGAGCTGGGCTTAATAACTGTGCCCAGATCAATGTCTTGTTCCAGATTTAATGAGGGCAGCAATGGACAATAGAACCATTAACCCTTTAATGTAAACATAGGGATAGCATATCCTGACAAATGCTGCATCTCTATAGGATTAATGAGTTAAATGACTGTGTGATGAATGTGCACCTTATGCACCAAAACCACTACACACTCCGTTTTAGTGCATACATGTTGTGCCTTTCTCCTGCAATGTCATCAAGCACAGTAGGATGATAAGGAGTGCGTCCAATGCTGATAGGGAAGCAGTAGATTAACTGCCTCTCTGTGAGATGCATCAGATTGGCAGAGCACAACGACTAGCAGGCAGGTGTCATATGACCCCATATAATTATTGATGAGAAACATTGGATTAAACTAAAAACATCAAGGATAATAATCTCATAGAGGATGGAGCAACAGGGTGGGCACATAATCTAAAGCAATAAAGAAATACTCCAAGGTTAAAAATAAATATATTATTTTTAACCTTAGAATGTTCCTTTAAAGCATGCTGTTTTTTGTTTTTTTATTTTCCTTCCTATACTCTGTGTACTTCACAGTATCTCACAATTTTCAGCTTTAAATGCCTCCCAGGAAAACAGGAATTATCATTAGAAAAGCCTTGTCTCACTGCGACAATCTCTTGAGATAAAGACCTGAGACACAGATGCAGTTCATAACAAATCAAGTTTGCTGGCCTAGTCAATGCAGGATCTGTTACACGCAGTGAGCAAATGCTCTGTTTATTATGTGACTGTGTTGCAGTTACCTTAAGCACTTAAGCTACATACTAGTATACATTAGAAACATAATGGAAGGTAATGTAAAAAATGCTTCCTCACAAGGTCTTACGATTGTGCTGCAAGATGTGCTCCTTGAAGAATATACAGTGTTTGATCTCAGTTTCTTACATGTTTCATATTACTTTTTACCATTTTGCAGTGCTGCAGAATATCATGGTGCTTAATAAATACCAGCAATAATACAACGCCTATGAATCATGAAAATATTTATCAGTCACTGTATGTTTAATTCCATATTTCCTGTAAGTTACAATAAAGTATAATTGGAGAGAAAAATAATAATTTTATATTTCACTACTTTCAGGAGGAATTTTCCCCTTATTATTTAATATTAAAAAATAAAAATATGTGATGTGTTGCTTTTAAAGGAACGCTATGAGCACCCAGACCACTTCATCTCAATTAAGTGGTCTGGGTGCCATGTACTCTTTTTTTAACCCTGCAGTTGAGATATTGCCGTTGTGCAGGAACAGCCACAAAAGGCACTTTCACAAATTGGCAGAGTAAACCTCGACACTTTTAGCCAGATTGTCTAAATTGCCCATTGACAATCCGAAGTTCCTGGTTGTCACTTTCAGAAGCTAAATGTTGCTGGTGGAATTAGAGATCCAGTGCTGTAGGAAACATTCAGGTAAGAAAGTGCTCAGGGGCATCCTGTCACCATAACAACTTTATTTCAGAGTGTTCCCTTAAAAAGATAAATAGATTGCGAGAGATTGTAGTATGAAGGCTGTTTATGAATAGTGAGTTTAGGGCTAGAGTGGGGTCAAATTTAGTATTTGGATACATGGGGTATTTAGCTTTTAAAAGGAGTTAAAGGAACACTATTGTGTAGGGAGAACAAAAAAAGTACTCTTGACACTATAGTGCTGGTGGTTGTTTACGTCCCCGGCCACCATCTCTACAGTGAAAAGGGGAAGTTACCTACCTTTTTCCAACTCCATGCTGGTCTCTCAGTTTGATCTCAGTCAATCCAATGCTTTCGCATAGGAAAGCATTGCGAGGCTAATGCGCACGAGTTGCAAAAAGCCATGCTGCGTCAGTCAGTATCTCATAGACGTGTTGAATAAATGCATTTTTATGGCGAATGTTTAACATCTGTATGCAGGGCATGGAGGTGCTCAGGGCCGGATTAAGAGCACAGTGGGCCTGGTGCTGACAATTATGATGGGCCTAATTACGGAATCTTATCGACCAAAAACACTAAAACAAACATACCTCCCAATCGTCATGTATCTGATGGAGATGGTGCTGGAGGGAAACTCATAGGATGCAGCTATAAGAAAACACATACTCTATGCTAATCTCTCTCTAATTTATGCTTTCATCTTTCAAGTAAATCCATAACCCCTAACAGCAGTGTCCAGTGAAGCAGGAAGTCAATGGTTATTGTAAAAGGGTGTGCCACTGGCGCGAATCACGTGACAAGACCTGCCAAAAGGGGTGAACATGCCCAAAAAGGGGGCATATTTGTCCAAAGAATTGGAAGGTCAGCCTGGCATGAATGCATGTCAGGCTGCCTGCCAATCCTGCAGGCTGTCCAACTAAGGGCATACTATGCAGGCAGCACCTTGAGCTTGACATAAATGTGTCTAATGATGCGCTCACTCCATTCTTTCTAAGGACTGTCCCCTAGCACTCGCTGGTCCACTTGTCTCCTTACCTTCTTACTAGCAGGCAGAAGTTCCTGGTATATAGTCTGAGACAGAGAAAAGGTGTCTGTAGTGAGTGTAGAAGAAAGGGGACATGCCACAGTGTTAGAGAGACCAACGTCTGCATTACCTAAACTAATTCAAATGTCAGCCAGTGCACACAAGTTTTGTTCCCATACATCCCTCTTAAGCTTCCAAACTTAAAGGGACACTATAGTCACCAGAACAACTACAGCTTATTGTATTTGTTCTGGTAAGTGGAATCATTCCATTCAGGCTTTTTGCAGTAAACACTGTCTTTTGAGAGAAAATAACTCCAGATGGCTGCTAGAGGTGCTTCCTGGAGCAGTACTGCCTAGTAGGCAGCACTGCCATATAGTGTCTCCACCCTCTGCGTGCAGACACTGAACTTTCCTCATAGAGATGCATTGATTCAATTTATCTTTATGAGGAGATGCTGATTGGCCAGGGCTATGTTGGACTTGTGCTGGCTCTGCCCCTGATCTGCCTAGTTGACAGACTCAGCCAATCCTATGGGGAAGTATTGTCATTTGCTCAGACCACCACTTCTGAGCCAGCAGCTGCAGAATTGAATACAAGTAATATTTTACTATATTTAGGGAGGCAAGAAGGGGCCAGGGTGGTGGTTTTAACATAATAGGGTCAGAAATACATGATTGTGTTCCTGACCCTATAGTGCTCCTTTAAGCAAGAGTCTGTGAAGAGTAGTTAAGGTTGCCACCTTTCTTGGAAAAAATGTCCAGCCTTAATCATTTGTATAATTAATTAGTTATGCATGACATCACATGATGTAAATCACAAGGAGTGACATCAGAGAAAATTCTGTAAAATCACCTACAAACTCAGCAATCCATCTGCTGTATAGATGGATTGCTCCCAGTGTCTCCTTGTCTCCCAGTGTCTCAGTCTCGCAAGTCACCCAGTGTCTCAGTGTCCCTATGTATCACAGTGTCAGTGTCCCCATGTCGCCCAGTCCCCTAGTCTCCCAGTGTCTGTGTCCCCATTTCTACCAGTGTCTCAATGTCTCAGTGTGTCCCCATGTCACTAGGATACTGGGGACACTGAGAGACATGGGGACACTGAGACACTTGGGACACAGACACTGGGAGACATGGGGACACTGAAACATTTGGGGACACTAGGGACACAGAGACATGGGAACACAGACACTGGGAGACTAGGGGACACTGGGAGACTAAGGGATACTGGGAGACACTGGCTGGAAGACAGACACTTGGGGAGACATGAGGACAGTTGTGGACATAGACATGGGGACACTAGGCACACTGAGAGACATGGGACACAGACACTGGGAGACTTGGGGACACTGAGACACTAGGGACACTGGCTGAGGGACATGGGAACATAGTGTCTCCGTGTCCCAATGTCTCAGTATCTCCCAATGTCCCTATGTCTCACAGCGTCCCCATGTGTCTCAGTGTCCCCAGGTCTCCCAGTGTCTCAGTGTCCCCTAGTGTCTGTGTCCCCTAGTGTCTGTGTCCCCTAGTGTCTCAGTGTCCCCATATGTCCCCAAGTGTCCCCAAGTGTCTCAGTGTTCCCAGGTCTCCCAGTGTCTGTGTCCTAGTGTCTCAGTGTCCCCTAGTGTATGAGTCATCATGTGTCCCCTAGTGTCTGTGTCACCTAGTGTCTCAGTGTCCCCATGTGTCCCCTAGTGTCTCAGTGTCCCCATGTGTCCCTGCTGCCTTTCCCCCATCCCTCCCTTACCTGAGCAATAGAGCTGATGTCTGGACTCTGCGCTGTGTAGCTGCTCCCCCAGGGATCAGTGAGTAGTAGAGAGAGGCAGGGATATGTTGTAACTTCCTATACCTGCCTCTCTCCACACACAGTGACCCCTACTGGCCAGTGCTGGTATTGCAGAGTAATCTCTGTTTATACTGAGAATAATATTTGCATTTGTATTGCCGGTATTACTGCAATACCATCATGGCCAGGCAACCTCAAATACTGGCTGTGTCTTAAAATACCAATTAAGGTGGCAAACCTAAGTGTAGTGTGGGAATTTTTTTTTTTTTTTTAATTTTTTTTAATGGGCCTATTCCATGGGCCTGGGCCTGGAGCTGCAGCTCCATTAGCCCCTATGTTAATCCGGCCCTGGAGGTGCTGAACCCCAGTGCTGCACACTGCAGCTCTGTCACATGAAGCATCCACAGTGACCACTCTGAAAAGGCAGTATTTACTGTGCTGTGACAGGAGGCATCAGTGCTACATACACCAGAACTACTACATTAAGCTTTAGCGGTTTGTTGACTATAGGGTCCCTGGAAACATAGGATTAACAAAATTGTTTATTTTCAGGTTTAGGCTATCAGTGCTTACCTTCCTATGTCTTCTGTAGATCTGTAAGATTAATTAGATTAGACCTGCAAGAGTGCCTATACAGTGTGCATCACTGAGAGCTTCCCCTGATTCTCCTGCAAGACATTTCCTTAGTGAGAGGTTACCAGTGGGCAGATGGGAAGGGAAACCTTCCATTTCTTGTCCAGCCTCACACACACACACACACACACAGACATTGCAGAAATGAGTTATACACCCCCTAAAACTGTTCTTGCAAGTCTGATATAAACACTAACTGGACTACAGAGGACACTGGTTCAAAATGGTACATTATAATTGCTGCAAGCAGGCGCCTTCTGATGGCCAGGTCAGGGCTGCCATCAGAAATGTTGGGGCCCCTGACACAGCTCAAGGTCTGGGCCCCCCGGCCCCCCAAAGTGCTGCCCCCCCCCCCCCGAATCCCATCACAATGGGACATCACAATGCCCCACCCATATGATCTGCCATGTTAACTAACACCAGTGCTGCAGTGCCGCCGTGTTTACATTAAAAGGCCTGCAGGGACAGGCTAGACACCAGAACCACTACATTAAGCTGCAGTGGTTCTGGGGACCATAGTGTCCCTTTAATGTGAGGTAAATTAGAGATTAGTGCCACGAATAATATACTAGATTGCCTACTTACAACCAGATGAGGATGATGATGGGCTCTAGCTGCCGTCTGGCTCCACTGGTCTGGTGTAAAACAGGCTCTCTGGAGGCGGTTTGTAACTGTGGTCACAAAAATCACTGTTCTGGGAGAACGGGAAGCAGCTCCATTTTTTTGAGGGCCCTTTACACAGCTTAAGGTCTGGGTCCCATGGTCCACCTTCATGTTCACCAATGAGTTTGTTCACAGGGAGTGGAGTGTGTGTGTGGGGGATGTCCTGATGTGTGTAAGGAATGCATTGTGTGAATCTGTGTTTGTATGTGTAAGGGCTGCAAGATGAGTTTGTGTATGTATGGGATGCAGTGTGTGCGTGTGTAAGGGATGCATTGAGTATGTGTAAGGGGTGCATTGTGTGTTGCTGTGTGTAAGGGATGCATTGCTTGTGTACGTGTGTCTGTGTGTAATGCATTGTGTGTTTTTCTGTGTGCAAGGGGTGCATTGTGTGTGATGGATGTCAATCTCTCCCCCTCCCCCTGTCAATTTCCTTCTCCCCCCCTCTCCCTCCAATTTCCTTCTTCCCCCCCTCCCTCTCATTTCCTTCTCCCCTCCACTCAAATTTCCTTCCTCTCCCTTCCACTCAAATTTCCTTTCTCTCCCCCGTCCCTCAAATTTTCTTCCTCTTCCCCGTCCCCTCAAATTTTCTTCCTCTCCCCTCGTCCCCTCAAATTTTCTTCCTCTCCCCCCGTCCCCTCAAATTTCCTTCCTCTCCCCCCGTCC